AGGAGCTTTGAGTAAAACAAACTAGGGCTGCGGCAGCCGCCGCCGCCGCCTGCCGGGGCATGTCGTGGACGCCGGCCGAGACGAACGCGCTCATCGCAGTGTGGGGCAACGAGCGGCTGGTGGAGGCGCGGTACCAGCAGCTGGAGGGAGCCGGCCCGGTGTTCGGCAGCAAGGCCCCCGGGCCAGCCATGTACGAGCGCGTGTCCCGGGCCCTGGCCGAGCTGGGCTACGAGCGGACCCCGTCCCAGTGCCGGGAGCGCATCAAGGTAACCGGCCGCCCGGCTTGGGGCAGCGAACCAAAGGCAGAGAGAAGGCGGGGAAGCGGGCCTCGGGGGCGGGGGCCGGTCCGAGCGCGGGGCTCCCCTCCGGGGCCCGGTGGGCGATTCGCATCTCCTCCGTCTTTTTCTTCTCTCCCTGGGAAGGGGGCTTTTTTCCAGATGGCCGCCAGCCCGTAGGTTTCCTGAGTTTGAAGTTGGGCGTGCCTGCCGCCGCCCCTCTTTCTTGCCAATTGAGGATGTTCCTGCGCTCTGAAGTTGGTAGTTTCTCATTGTGCGCCGTGCGGCAGTCCCAGTGCCCCTGGCGCCTCCAGCCCCCACCGCCGGGGCCCCTTGCTTTGTTCCAGGCGGAGGGGCTTCCAGGCAGAGGCTTACCGGCCGGGGCGAGATAGAGGAAGGGCAGAAGGGGGGCCGTTGAGCCCCCAGTTTAGGAATTTTTAATAAGTGACGGTGGCAGAGCCATAGAAAAAGTGACTGGCTTTTGTGTCAGTCGTTTTGCTTCTAACTTGAGCTACGAGGGACGAGTAAGATTCTTTAGAGAGTTGGAAAGACTTGATTGTAGCCAGATTGTGTATTATCGTGGGAACCATGAAAGTTAGCCTGACCGAGAGTTGGTCTGGAATTTGGATTGTTGGATGCCTCCAGAATTAGGTTGGCTTGAGTCCCTGCTGTTTCTCTGACGAAGCTCCTTCGTGAAAGCCAGTTTTTCCCTGCAGTTGTAGTTACTGTGCCGGATGTGGTGACAAGTAAAACTCTCAGTATGCATCTGGCCAACCTGTGTATCTGCATGATTAAATGCAGAGGCTTAATTTGGGCTAGGAATTTTACCACCAGCCGCGTTATCATTTTGCTGTTTCTACTGACTTATCTAGGCATTCGTATTGGCAGATGTGGAGTTGTATTTTAGTTAAGCTCTATTCCTCATCATAGTGTCTGCTGAAAGATTCGGGTAGGATTCTCCCAGTTTTCATTGAACTACTTCTACTTAGTCACAGAATCTGTGTACTTCTTTTTTGGTAGGGCTGTCACTTTTTCTGGGAGGGTAAAAATCGTAAGTAAGAATAATGACACTAAAAAATAATCAGAAAACCCAATAGGAACAATCATAAGTGAGAGTCATCACACTAAAGAAGGGAGAATTTCACCAGAGTTCATGAGGTCTTGGATGAAGTGCTGTTGTTCGTTTGGGGACGTTGTTGCTTAGAAAAGATGGTCCAGAAATTAAGATATTTCATATCTACTAACGGTTGTTCAGGAATTTGGTGCCTATTACCCAATTACAAAATTAAATTAGTGTATCTGATAACACACACCTCTGGGACTTCTTAAGCGTGTCCTACCCCGCTTCTCACCCCAACCCCCTTTTAAATGAGGATGTCATTAAAGTAGTAGCTAATAGACAAGAAACAGCTACCGTTCTCTGAGTCTCATTCATTATGCTGAGTTTCATCATTTAAGGTCATTTGCACCGTCCTGGCTAGCTTCTATCCATGAACTTTTCTTGAGTTTAGAGGTGCATTTTAGGCATTTGTAACTGTTTTAGCTTGATTGATTATTAATCCATAGAAACCTCCCAACCGTAGGGGAAGAAGTGTTGTACTATATCAAAACCTCGCTCCATAAAATTATTTGTCAAACGACCAGGGAATATCTAGTTAGGTTGCTTCATTGTCCAGTTATGAGAAGGATAACCAAAAGCAGGGAGATCATCGCTTCTCTGAAGAATTTTAAAAAGAGGATCACTTTACCTGTTTCCAGACAGGTGAGACCAAATTGACCTCAAGCTCTTAGAATATTTTGAGAATATGCAGCTGATGATGGGTTCTCTGATAACAAGGAGGGCAGGTGACTTTTGTTTTTTTAAAGTGCCATACTCTTTGATTTCAATCAAGGAACCCAGACTTCTTCATTAAAAATGTTGATCTTTCCTGCCATAATTATAAGCTCTTTGAGGACGAGGTTCTGGTCTCTCTACTCATGGCTGTACTAGCTTATAATAGGCACTGAATACATGTTTATTCAAGTTAACAGATAAAGACTAAAACGAAAATTTTGGGAAGTATAAAATCTACAGTAGTGTTATTCAAACTTTAACTCAAAAACAAACTTTGGAACCCAATTTGAAAAATACTGCATTAAAAAGTAAGCTCTGTTCCTTTAGGAGACTTAGTGTGAATGTAATCTTAAGCACAGACACAAATGTGGTCACTGAAATAGCCTTACACAATTAGAAGGTGAGTGTCCAAGTATCCCAGATTACGCTTATGGAAATAAAAATACAACCTTAAATTCTCAGAAGATCTTAAAACTATGAAAACAAATTCTTAGATCTCAATTTCAGAAATGCCCATTTAGACTAGGTAATTCAGAAATCTCTTTTCACTTTATTGTGTTTATGTGAATTGCCAAAAGAAATTCAGTAATACTTTTTTCTTTAGATTCTACAAAACAGTAACAGTAGTTCAGTAAGCTGTGGAAAAGGAGGGACTTCTTGTATGTACTGATGTAGCTCACTTAAATGTGAACTCAGTGTCAGAGGTTCACAGAGAAGGAAGGACTTGTGAGTCAATTATATTTCTGTTATAATATATTTGAAATTTGTATTAAAAATTTAATTATGAAAAATTAGTAAATAATTTCTTATAAGTTTGAAAGGAAGAGACATATAGTAACTTCAGTTTTGCCATGCAGACCTTCCTTTGATCAGATAGTTTCAGCATGTTCACATAGCAGCCTTTATCTCATGATGACGTCTGAAAGCATCAGAAAGCTGAGTCCTGTCCCAACTTCTTCTCTGACCACCTTCCTGAGGAACCTTGAAGCACATCACTTACTTTCTCTGGAATGCACCTCAGCCTTCTTATCTATGCAATGAACATATTAAAATTGTAAATATTGAAGCTGAATTGATAACTCTTAGATTTTGATACTAAAGTTCTACTTTTTAATACTACTCAAATGAATATATTTCTAAGCACACAAAATTTTAACTAAAAGATATAAAGATTTGTTTATTACTACAAAGAGTTTCATTTTGATGTCTGTCATGTTATTGGTATTTGTTCTATCATTTGGATAAAATGGATGTGTTCGAGATTGCCTTACTACACAAATTGTTTATTCTGAAGTTTTGTTGCTTTTCTGTTTGTTTGCCAGAAGAAAATTTGTCTGCTAACAATTCCAGCCTAATTTTGGAGTCAGATAAACAAATATAGGATTTTTTTTTTGTCTACTCATTGCATGATTTTTCTTTTTTTCTATAGGCCTTTTCTTCTTATCTCCATTCACCAAATACTTGAGTGCTTACTATGTGCAGGGCTGTCTGCTAGGTGTTAGAATGAATAAAAGAACTGTAGTATACAGTTCCTACAGTCCAAAGAGCTTACAATCCATCTGAAGCTTGTATACACACATTAAAGAATTAAAAAGCTGTCCAAGAGAACACAAGGGATAGTATGCAAGGCAGTACTTGATTAAGTATCATATGACTAAAGCAGACTATAAGTTTGATGACTTCAGAGGAGGGAACAATCTCATCACTGTCCGTATTCTAGTAGTTGAAAGATCTATCTAGGTTTGGAGTTCATGAAAGCATTCACTTCTCAGCCAGATGCTGTATTCACACTTCAGTCAGTTGATCTGATGCACTGCAAAACTCATTCTCAGGTCCCATATTTTTGGGTGTTCTCCAAAAATGCCTCTTGCAAGTTGGCATTTTGTCTTTGAGACAGGTGTGTACTTCATCCTTAAGATGAAATGCAAGGTGATTATATGCAACCTGAAAACCTTATCTTTGCTAGATTAGTGCTGGTTGCTCATCAGACAGATTTAAAAGTGATAAGGAGTCTTTTCACTAGCAAATGAAATGATTAATTTTCTAGGGGCATTATTTAGATTTATTCATCAATAATTGTCATCTTTGGAACCAATTTCGTACTTAAGCACACAAATTGCAGTATCATATATTTGGTCTTTAATTTTAGCTATCAAGCCTTGCAATTATTTGTTTGTGATAACCAGTAAAGCACAGATAACTTGGAGCCCGAAGATAACTTTTTCCCTGTGTAAGCACTTTAACAGACTCTGCCCATCTCTGAGGATTTTTCTTTGGTGTTTGCAGATAAGATTTCTGCATTATCATTGAAAGATTTCCAAGAAATATGGCACGCCACTCAAATAGTTCGTAAGAAAAATTTAGTCATATTTATTTCATATCATTTTTTACAGATTCAGCTTCTGTTGTTCCCATCCCGCTGTCACCTGAAAGCTTGTGCATTCCAGTTTGCTTGTCCGCTTGTGAGTCTGACAGAGGTTTGATGTGTATCTTAAAAGAATAGGCCTTGACTACTGACCATATACTTATTTAGGCTTTCAGTTTTGTATCTAATAAGCATGTGTTAAAACTGAATAAATGGGTTTTTTATTTTATTTCCTGGCATTTCTGGAATCTAGTAAAGAGTGGAGTTAATATTCTGGATACTACATTAAGAGGATATGTAAAAGGAAAAGAATTTAGAAAGCATGTAGTACAGACAGTGCTGTTCAATAAACCTTTGTGATGATGGAAATGTTCAATATCCACCTCAGTTCGGTATGATAGCTACTAGTCACATGTGGCTATTGGGCCCTTGAAATGGGGCTAGTATGCCTGAAGAATGGAATTTTTAATTATGTTTAATTTTAATTAACTAAATTCTAAACTATAAACAGCCACATGTGGCTAGTAGCTACCGTATTGAACAGTGTAAGGTCAAAAGTTATTGTTCATAGTGTTAAAGTAGTCTATTTTATAAAAGGATTCTCTTGGCCATATACTCAAACCTCTAGGGGGAGCTCAGAGTTCCTTCTTGCCCTTCCTGCCACTTTACCCCTGTGTAAGAATCTTAATAAAAGTCAAGAAAAATGGTTCACCATTCTAGGAGGTGGAGCTTTTAGTGCAAGGAATAAAAAACATTATAACCTCAACTGGCTGGGGCAAACAGTGCATAATG